CTGCTGCATCCTGGTCTTCCTCTCTGGTTCCTCTTTGCTCATGTGTCCCTTTGCATACCCTGCCTGTTCCATGATTTATGCTGATAGTGCACTAACTTTGTCTTCTGAGGTTTTTCTAAAAATATTTTATTTTTTTAATTTTATGTGTATGCATGTATTGCCTGCATGTAGGTTAGTGCACCCGTGTCGTGCAATGCCCGCAGAGGGCAGAAAAGGCTGCCGGATCCCCTGGAACTGGAGTTATGGACAGTTGTTAGCTGCCATGTGGGTGCTGGGAATCAAACCTGGGTCTTCTGTAAGAATAGTCAGTGTTCTTAACCGCTGAGCCATCTCTCCAGCCCTGTCTTCTGAGTTTTACGGGGGCTTTCAGCTAAGAGGTGCGTTGACTCTCAGATCAGTTTTTACTTTTGAGGGCTGTTGGGAGTACTGAGTCTTAGAGATGCACTAAGTGCATTTTAAATTGGGAGATGAGCAGGAGCCTTGAGGACCAAAGGAAGAATGTAATGGTTTGTAATCTGGAAAGTCTCTCAAAGGCTCATGGTTGAAAGTTTGGTCCCAATGAAGCAATGTTCAGAAATGGGTTTCTTAGGAAGTGAATGACTACGGAAGATTGATTTCATCAATGTGTTAGTAGTTATGGGATCACAATGGAATGCATCATTGGAGGGAACACAATTTGGGAGGTGTGACCTAGTTGAAGACAATGGATCACTGGGGATGTGCTTTGGGGGCTACAGCTTCTCCATGGCCTCCTCTTCCCTCCTTTCATCTCCTGTTCCCCTATTCTTCCTCCTCCCCTTCTTTCCCACCTTCTGACTGATTGCTGGTCACCATAAGGAGCATGCCCTCCTTGCCGTGATGTTCTGTCTTACCACGGGCCCACAACGTTGGGGCCAAATGACTGGACAAAAAGAAATCTCCCAAACCAGTGGTCAGATTAAATCTTACCCATGCTACGTTGATCTATTTTATCACGTTTATGGAAAACTGATTCATACTAATAGCTAACATTTTTATATGTAGTGAGAACATTTAAGATTTACTCTCAACAAATCTCTAATTTGCATTACAGAATTATTGATAATTGTCACCACAGTGTACATTATATATTTCAGAATACAGTCTTCTTACTTGAAACTTTATGCCCTTTGACAATTGTTTTCCTATTTTTACTCACTCAAGACACCTACAACCAACATTCTACCACCTGCTTCTGTGATTTTGACTCCACATACAGGTCAGACAATGCAATACTTGTCTTCATGTGCTTTGCATGTTTCATATAGCATTATCACGCATATGCATGTCAAAGATGAGAATTTCCTTCATGTGTAAGGTTGAAAACTTTTCCCTTTAATGTGTCAGATGGTCTTTCCTATTCCTCCACTGTTAGACAATTATATCAATCCACATCTCGAGTACTATGAATAACGCTATAGTGAACAGAGTAGTGCAAATATCTCTTCCAGATACGAAAAAACCCGTTCCTTTAGATACATAATCAGAAGTGGGACTGCAGGATTATGACAGCCTAATTTTTAGTGTCTATTCTGTTTTCCTTGTTTGCATCAACTTACTCTCACTCAGGGCATAACACTTCTCTATCACATTCACACCAATATTCACTGATTCATCTTTTTAAAATTAATAGCCATTAAGTATCTTGATTTTTATTTCTCTGATTAGTGATAGTGAACTTTTTTTTTCTCCATGTTTCTACAGTCAATTTGTCTTTTTTGAAGAAATGTCTGTTGATGACTTTTGCTCATTTGTCAATGATTTTTTTAAAGTCTTGTTCTTTTGCTATTGAGTTCCTTATGCATTTCAGATATTAATACCTTATCTGTTGTATTTTCTCCATTCCATATGCTATCATTTGACTCTGCTATTCTGTTTTGCTGTGCAGAAGTGTTTTAGTTCAATGCAATACCATATGCCAAATTTTACTTAACTTGCTTGTGTTTTTTAGTCCAAATATCAAAATCACTCCTCAGATCAATGTCAATATGTTTTTCCAGTTTTTGTCTAGTTTTACACATTACACTTAAGCCTTTATTCCACTGTAACTTGAGTTTTTAAAAACATTTTATTTTTATTTTATGCGTATGCGTGTATTGCGTGCATGTAGGTAAGTGCACCTGTGTCCTATAATGCCTGAGGTCAGAAGAGGCTGTCGGATCCCCTGGAACTGGAGTTACGGACAGTTGTTAGCTGCCATGTGGGTGCTGGGATTCAAACCTGGGTGTTCTGCAAGAACAACCAGTGCTCTTAACCGCTGAGCCATCTCTCCAGGCCCAACTTGAGTTTTTATATGATGTTGTTATACTGTATACAGATATAGTTTCCCCAAGATAATGTATTGAAGACTATACTTTTGGCATTTTGTATTATTGGAAATTATCAAAGATCACTTAACTGGGCTAGCGAGATGGCTCAGAGTAACATGTCTGCTACACAAGACTGATGATGACCTGAGTTCAATTCTCAGAACAATGCAAAGGTAGTAGAAGCAAAGTTGTTCTCTGATCTCCACATATGCTCTGTGGCATGTGTGCCATAACCCACATGATGCACATGTACAGGTACACATATATACATACACATACTAATAAATAAAACTTCAAAAGGTTCACTTAACCATAAGTGTATAAATTTCTGGACCTTGGTTTCATTGGTCTGTTACTGTGTCAGTGCCATGCTGATTACCATAGCTTTGCAGGCATTTTGATAAATTGTCTTTGTGTTTTGAGAACTTGACTATGTCTTAGGAAAGGTATCTTTACATTTCATCTATTTGGGATTCATAACTTTGTTCTGCTGAGGAGAGGAGGACAGGGTTGATACAGCCATGCTTTCTGGTCTTTGTGGGCACTGCACTCACATGCACAATTTCTCTGTTTCTGTCTCTCTGTTAGCTGGTCTCTGTCTCTGTCTCTGTCTCTGTCTCTCTCTCTCTCTCTCTCTCTCACACACACACACACACACACGCGTGTGCAGAATAAACTTACCTAGCTGTGGTAAGTTTTCTGGTTTTATTATTTTGTGAAGACCCCTTTCCCTTTCTGGAAAGGAAAATCAATATCCAGATGTTAGAAACCCAAGTACATTGACCATGAAGACAGTCTGTAGGACCTGGGGACACCAGTAAGTGAGGCAAAATATGCATACAGGTGCTGCAGAAGTCCCACAGATTTTCTTCTCTATTTTTCTTTGTTCCTGACAAGATAATTTCAATGCTGCCATTGAGTGTGTTGCTTCTTTTCTTTGAGTCTGTTTCTGAAGTGAATTTTTTGTGTAGCTGTTTTTCAGTTTCAGAATTTTTTTTAAAAACTGCTTCTGTCTTAGTTGTGTTTCCTGTTGCTGTGATGAAATATCTTTACAAAAGCAACTTATGGGAGAGAGGGTTCATTTTAACATTTTAGGCCAGAGTTCCATATTATAGCCCATCACTGCATGAGGTCAAGGTGGTAGAAACTCGAATCAGCTTGTCACATCATATCCAGTCAAGACCAAAGAATGATAATGCATGCATGTGCCAGCTCAGCTCACATTTCCTACTCATACACAGGTCAGAATCTTCTGTCTAGGGAATGGTGCCACTCACAGGGGGTGAGTCATCACACTTCAAACAACAAAATCAGGACAGTCTCCCTCAGATATGCCCACAGGCTAACCTGATCTAGGCAATCCCTCATTGAGATGCTCTTCCTGGGCAATTCTAGATTGTGTCAAGTATGCAATTAAAACTAACCATTACAGCTTCTTTTCGGTAAACTGTATTTTTTTCTTCTTTTATAGTTGTCCAGGTTCACTTGAAGAATATTTGAAACTCTTCCAGAGAATCATTTTGACTTATTTTCCAGGCAGTTTTACATATCCATTTCTTGAAGGTTAGCATTGGTGCTTGCTACTTTGGTAGTATGATGTTCTGATTATTTATGATTCTCAGTCTTCTGTTGGGGTCTGCACATCTGAAAAAGTAGGCACCCCTTCCATTCTTCATAGACTACTTCTGCAGGGACAAGCTCTTCTAGTCTAACCATCCAGAGTCTCTGGGTGATATATCTGATAAGATCCTCAGAAGGGTTGTTCTGAACCTAGATTCATGCGAGCCAGGTTCTATGGGGTCAGCTTGGTGCCTGTGTCTACTGTGAAAAATATGAACACTGGGTGATGAGAGCAAGCCTAAAACACTCTTATAGACTGCACAATTCAGTGTCTGTTTATATAGTCACATGGTAATAAAACAATCATCAACTTTAGAACAGTCATGAGCACAAAAAGAAATTCTGTACCCATAGGTAGTACATGATGTTTAATCATTGCAATGATGTGTACAATGTCATGGTAAATCTTTTTTTGGTCTAGTGTTCAGTATGTTACCATCCCTTGGTCATAGTGAATAGCATCATTTCAGGGACTGAACCTCATAAGACTACATTTTGGAGGATGAAACTAGAACTAGTCCTTGATGACCAAGAGGGACATTTGGGGTGGCTAAGAAATAAAGCTTTATTATTTTAAGCCAAAGATTTGGGAATGATTTGCAGACACAGAATAACCTAGCCTGATATGACTCATACACACACAACAAAAATCTGATGAGAAATAATTTGAGAGGCAAACTTATTTTTAACTGTTCAGAATCTGCTATTTATAAATGAATCTGGATGTTAACTGCCCTCTTTAAATGGAAAAATAAGAGAGGCTAATTTTAAGTCAAATGATCACTGAAAGTCACTGCATCTGAGGTGAGATAAGGGCATGATTACTTTCAATGAGCACAGAGGCAGACCAGTATGATTCCCTCATGAATTTTGTTCTGCTGAGGAGAGCAGGACAGGGCTGATACAACCTGCTTTCTGGCCTCACATGCACAACCCCAAACTCAGACACACACACACACACACACACACACACACACACACACACACACAATTAGAATAAATAACATTTTTAAAAGCTCCCATGTCACAGAAATAAGCTTCATTTCATTCATGTTATAGTTCACTCAATGTTTATTATTAATTCAATTATAAGCAGTTTAAATTTTTTAAGAAGGGGAGATATTCCTGAAAAATTAGACTGAAAATGCAGTACTAGTAGTAGACAAGGATTTGAGAGTTTTCTACTAAAATTTAGTTCCTAAGAAGTACAGTATTTTGCCTATTCTCTACAAAATTCTGAATTCTATATACAAAATGTTTCTGTTGCATATGTGTATTTGTATACCAATATTCAAATGTGGCACATTAGATAATAAATAAACCTTCAGAATTTAGTCATTAAGAATGTATCAAGACATTTCTTCTATACAATCTATCTTAAAATATAAAATATTTAAAATAAAAAGATTTATACATTCCAAAGAAGTACTTTAATTTTGTATTTACTAAGTCAAGTACTCAAGAACTTGATTTGAAGAGTCCAATAGACTGAAAGTCTGCTTTTCAAGAGTACCATTATCTTCTACCAATGGAGAGATTTTGGAATTTCTATATTCTAGTAGTTCACGATCCTTGCTTGATGCCAATAATTCATTATCTACGACACCAATAGTTGCATCTTCTACCAGAATATTTCCTTGGTATGCTCCAACTGGAATTTCAGGAAATCCAATGTAGTCATGATCTGCTACTACTGAACCTTGCAAGAGATAAAGACTGTCTGAAAGAAGAGACATAATGTTTCTTTTTAGAATTAAAATTAAACAACATTTAAAACACAAAACAATAAAAATTAACTATCACTATAAACTTCTGAAAAGTTCTCTTATCCTCTAAGTAAAGATACACATCAAAGAATGAATAAAATTATATGGTGTATACATACACAAATATATTTGATAGTTTACACATAAAGAATGCAGAAACTATAAAACTAATTTTCCTGTTTCCTTGACTGGTCTTGGTAGACATTTATGTGTATAGAACAAGTGGCAGGAGTGGTCTAGATCAAGCACAAGTTACAAACTATGGTTTTGATATTGATGATATTGATGATGTCTTTAATATGACTCTACAAAACATTTCTCAGTGAATTAGTAAATAAGAAAGGATATTTTAGTAAATAGAGCTGTTAGTTACATCCTTAAATGTCTAACTGTAGATGATCTCTGATTTTTATAGGATTCATTGTCATATGACAACACTAATTTGTTGCAATATCAAGTTGTAAGCTAGATGAAGATAAAGTGGCCAAAATAAGTTATGTGGTAAGAATGTACAAGAAGGTAGGTTTTAATGAAGTGGCTTTAAAAGCTTCGATTACTTAAGGTGAATCTTATAGTTCTTAGGAACTCAAAATCTAATCTACATTAAAGAGAATCTTTCCTTGTCAGCATTTTATGTATTCTTAGCAAATTTATTCTTACCCCAAAGTAAAAAGATTTAAAACAGTTAAACAGAAACCATAGTAATATCTTTCAATATAAAGAATAACACACTGGGCAAGAATTCTTCCCTATCTGATATTTTAATTCATTATGAAAGGAACTCTTCTGTCACAGCTGATTAACTCCCTCACCCCTGCATTCTCTGTCTGGATCATCCCCCACATTAACAGATTCTCTTGACGATTTTAATAGCTTACAGAATCCTCCAATCTTAAATTCAAGAAATAAAAAGGAGGCTAAATGCCCATTTAGATTAGAAATCAGAGCAGATTTGCCAGTGTGTCTAATAAAATGATCCCACTCGAGCCATGCTTGTAACTGGTCCCATTTCAACTCAAGAAGTTCACGCATATAAAAGCTTGCTGGGTGTGGTAGTGCATGCCTTTAATCCCAGTAGAGGATCCTCCTGGCAGAGGCAGGCGGATCTCTGTGAGATCTAAGTCAGCCTAGTCTACACAGAGTTCCAGGGGGGCTGGGCTAGGTAGACCTTGTCAAAACAAACAAACAAACAAACAAACAAACCTTAAAAATGTTAGTAGATCATAAAATCTGTGCTATGAATAGATGGACAAGTAAACTTGGGCTTATCTAGCCATTTAGTTTATACATTTAGTCTGTTATTAGGCAAAATACTCTTGGCATTTATTTTTGGGAGGTTTTCCAAATTTAATCTTACTTTTTTTTTCTTTTTTCTTTTTGAAACTGGGTCTTCCTGTAGCCCCAGCTGGTCTGGAACTTACTATGGACCAAGGCTTTCCTCACTTTCATAGAGCTCCTCCTGCCTCTGCCTCCCAAGTGTTGGGATTAAAGGCGTGTATCGCCAAGCCTGGTTTTAACCCTACAAATTCTTAATGCAAAAGTAGTAATCAGACCAAAAATATTAAGAAGATAAACTATTTATGGTGGAATAAAAGTATAGAGAACTGAAAATGGCAAAAAAATTATTCTTATATGCTGAGTGGGGTGAACTGATAGATAAAAGGAACACATCTGAAAGACAAAATTGAAAGCGTACAACGTATAAGAACTATTTTTGACTAATAGCACCAAGAAGATAGAAAATGATCAATGAATTTGAAATAGAGAGTATTCCTAGAAATTCAACATGAAGCTTGTAAACCTTAGCCAATACAAAAAGGCCAGATAGCCGTTCATAAGAGAAACTAAAAACCTAGGTATAACAATAAGCATGTTGAACTTAAAACATTCATGAAAAATCCCATAGATTCAAGGCCTATCTACTGGACAAGGTTATTAGTGATGACAGATATCATAGCACCTAAGGAATTTTCAAAGAATCTTTCAGGGAGCTTTGATAAAAGAAGTTTTTGGTCTAATTTTTTTTTTTTCCCATACAGATGAATAAGTCGGTTTATCACATCCCTCAACCAACAGCCAACCCCACAGGGATATGGGTTTATTTTACAAAAATACGCCCAGTTCTCATCCCCTCCCCCATATCAGTGTGGTAAAATGTATCTAGATGTAAAACTCTTAGAAGTTGAACTTCAGCTTGTCTTATTCTGGACTTGGAAAAAAATTAAACCTAACCAATATCACCTATTGTTAAGAGGAAAATGTTTTTATGTGTATACAATATACAAACATGCATTTTCACTTTAAATGAGTTTTAAAAGTAAGCATCTTATTGTAACCAAATTGAAGAGAAAAAGGATTATATTCAAATTCTATATAAATCACTTTATATATAATTACTCTGACAATGTCAAAGACCTGTTAATGTAGAAAAAAATTCTTATTCTTTCACAAAGACCAAATATGTTTCAATTCCAACTATGGTCTAACTGGAGCTAATATAAATGCTCTTTAAAATATTTTATTTATTAGTTTTATGTGTTTGAGAGTATTACCTGCATGTATGTAAGTGTACCCAGGTCCTGCAATGCCCACGGAGGTCAGAAGAGGGTACTGGATCCTTTGGAACTGGAGTTATGGAAAATTGTTAGCTAAAATGTGGGTGCTGGGAATCGAACCTGGGTCCTCTGTAAGAGCAGCCAGTGTTCTTAACCACTGAGCCATATCTCCAGCCCCATAAATGCTCTTTAATATCAATGAAGATTGTCAAGAAAGAGACTCTTGGAGTCCTCCCATGTATGTTGATTTTATATTTTAGATGCTGTTATATAAAATCTACATTATTTTCATCTATTTCTACTTAAAATGTGCTAGGAGAAAATTTAAAACTATATTCAGTATAGATTTTTTTTGTAGACTGATCTAGATCTACAATGCTGAAAAAAGATACAGAAAAGAATGTAAACATTTTATCCTTAAGTCAGAAACAAACACCATACTAAAGCACTTTTCTACTCAGCTACCAAGTACACAATAGACTTTTAAAAGTATATTTCTTTTCTCATTCTATTAATTTAGCTATGTCTATGTTGAAAGATATATTTGATGAAAATATCATTGCAATATTGATGAGACTGAATAAGTCTGGGTTCTTTGAAACTGAGCTATTTTCAAAATATTTCAGGAAGATATTAGTCATAAGTTAAAGCTTTTCTTATATAGTTTTAAGCCTAGAAAAACTAAGAAATACATTTTTAAAATTCTAAGAATAGATATTTTTTAAAAAATCACAAAATTTGAATGGTTAATTAATGGTTTTAATTAGAAAACTGCAAGGTTTCTTGCTAGTCAATTGTCTCAAGTGAGGTGAATAACCCTATTGTCTGAAAATTTTCAAACTTTTAAAATATATCGCTCTTCTAGTATATCCTTTGTATGATAAAAGTAACCATGATTTGATACATTATTATTGTTATAATACTAATAGCAGCTATCAGCACTAGATGGACTCTTGTTTGGAGTTTATATAACTAAGAGGCTAAAGGAATAGTTTCTCTGTATGAACTATGTTACTAATAACACACACACACACACACACACACACACACACACACACACACATTAATCCCACAACCTGTGAATATGTAACTTCATAGGGCCAAAAAAAGTTAGCATAGTCATGGAGTTAAAGCTGCCACTGATATGTCCTTAAAACAGGAAGATCACTCTCTCCAAAGGGCAGGACGCTCTCCAGGGTAGGCCGATTGCACCCTCCACGCCTTGACTCCCCCAGCCTCATTCACGATCCCATCAGTGAATTTAAAGGGCACAAAAAGAAAGAAATCAAAGAACTATAGGAAGATAGGGATAAACTTCTTAATGAATTCAGAAAAGAGCTAGAAATACTGAAGACTATTCAGGCTGAAATGAAGAAGAAAGTGAAACACTCAGTAAGCCAATTAGAAATGACAGGAGAAAGCCTCACCAATAGGATGAATGAAATGGAAAACAGAGCATCAAGACTGGAAGATAAAGTGGACGAACTAGACCACTCAAGCAAAGATTATGAAAAATTTAAGAAATCACAAGAATGGAATATGCAGGAATTGTGTGACACCATAAAAAGACCAAACTTCTGAATCATAGGCTTAA